AAAGTTATGAACATATTTATGTGTTACATTGTTTTTTACTGCAATAACATCAAACATTTTCCTTTATCGAAATTTACATATGTAAATTTAACAAATTCAAACCTATTGTTAAGTTGGTGGAAGAATAGGTGTGACTTATTGTTATAGCGGTATATAGCGGTATGTTATAGGTATGCCATGCAATAGCTAAACAAGCCGGAATTATGTTTCTAGCTAACTTATAAAGTATGCAATAACCGAAATGTTTAATTAATGATTTAGTTTGCTTTTGGCATCGTGTATAGAAAAATATTGTTTATTACACGTATCCAGGTTTGTTAACAGCTCATTTCCAAATTCGGCTTCAACTCGGATGATTAACCTAAGCCCTAAGCTTGAGGCTATTAAAGTCACTTTAAGGCCTAGTGACATAATATACTCCTGGACATTATTCAATGACGAATAACCAATGCATCATAGAAACCAAAAGCATAATCTATTTCCACTTTTAAATATTTTATGAGAAACGTATTTTTCCTACCTTTGCAAACCAAAATGCAAAGAGTTTCTTCTCTGAGAATGTTATATATTGTTTTAGTTTTTTTTAGAAGAAGAAGGAATGTATCGACAAAGAATATGGTAGACTGCAGAATGTAGTTTTCTGTAGGTCACATGTGATCTGAAAATATACATGTTCACATTGCCTCTGTCGTCTACCTTGTTGAAACAATGAGAATAGAAAGTTTACTTTTATATTGCAAACTCAGCAACCTTTATTGTAAGAATCTCTATTGCAAGGACTAAAAAAGGAACATTTCTCATTATACTACAAAAATGTCACAAAATTTGAAAGCCATGGTCACGGATAGCTTGAATGGTATTCATAGTAGGAAGTCTTTGGTTACTGAACTTCAATACTAAGACTTTTTGAAGGGGTGTTCCAATACAGAAACAGTTTTTCATTGTTCTTTAGTTTTTCTACTGCATTACTGAATCTGAAATTAAAAGTGGGTCAGAACTACATGATGACGAGGTTATCGCAGAACTAAAAACCATGGGTATTAGAAGGTCCCGAACTCAAGTTTCCAGGAATGTGTTTTAGCATTTTAGTAAATAGACTAGGTAGACCCCTTTCTGTCTACAAAAATATTTCTTAACTAATTTCCATAACATAATTATGAAGATTTGTTGAACTTAAACTGCTATTATGAAATATTTTGACTATAATTTCCATGTTTGGTGTGAGAGAAATTGAAATGTCCACTGCAACAACGTAAGTTTAAACTGTGCAATCAACAATGCATGCAAGCCTACGTTCGTCAACAACGATGATTCATTTTCTGACAGAGAATCACCACGGTTGGCGCCGTCGGCTTGTTAAATTTATGCGGGCATCGAAAACATTTACAACACCAATTTGTTACATTCCGCCGTTGTTGGAACGATAGGTCTTATATTGATTGTGACCGTTGTAAGTGTATATCGTTTATAAACTAATAGAATTTTATACATTCGTTTTTAATATAGTTTTTTTTATAAGTAATAGGTTCATCCATCTACTTGCTTAAAAACCGTTAATGTTATTGATATGTTTAATTAGTATTTGTTAATTTAATTCATTTGTTGATTTCAGGCTTGTCTAGGTAAGTCTAATAATTGAAATAAATTATTTTTAAAACATTTTAAACTCGAGACTTATGCATTTATATACTAGCTCGACTTAACTGATTGTAGAAAACAGTTATATTGTCTTTACCAAATAAATAGTAAGTAAATAATATAAATTCGTAAAACATGGATCTAATCCTTTTAAGTTATTTCATTAAAAGTATAATTAATTAATTTTGTAATTCAGGAATGAGGAAAGGATGGTTAAGCATGAGTTCTTGAAGAAATAAAGGATAACAATTAATTAAACGCAATTTTTGATCATTCATTATACTAAAACATACAGAGCATTATTATACCTACACTAAACATTTTTTTAATTTCACACAATTTTTTAATTATGACGAGTCAGAAGCAGTCATGAGGTTATAGCTTTAACCACCTTGTCATATAACAAGGTGGTTAAGGTCATATAAATATTCATTAATATTTTCCAGATAATTCTGTACTGAATCGACTAACCATATCTGGGAACCCAAGGTCCCAGCGGCAGGCAATGGTTCAAGTTCGCCAACTTCCGAAAGAATAAAGACTTAACACAATCAATCAACCTCCAAATGAAACAGTACTGGTAACATGAAACATATCGACCCAGAATTGAAGAAAATTTAAACACAACAAGAAAGGTTAAAACCACTACCGAACCAAGCTACTACTCATGAGTGCATTGTTATGTAATGGTATAGCAGACGACAATTTAGAGTGCTGTGCAGCTGTACCATTGTTACACCTGTAGTATGTTGCCCGTGTCAGCTGTAGCATTCCATGGAGAGCTGTAACAATATTGTACGTGACCAACGTCGTCCTGAACAGTTCCATATTCAATATTGGAGCTGACATGAATGAAACATGAATGCGAAGTATCGTTTTATTTTACATGTAATACTTTTTTAACGAACTGTTTTGACATCTGTGTAGGGTTGACTGGTTATTGAACCTTTTTTTAATGTCACGAGTGTTAACGATGTGCTTTACCACGCAAACTATTGTTATACGTACAACCATTATTTTTAAATTGCTTCTATCCAATAGTTGCAAGGTCATGCAGCTAGATTTAACTTCATGAAGAAGTCATCTTCAGGCGTCCACAATTTTGTCCAGATTTTGTGTCCAGACGTCTAGTGTCCAGATTTTGACATCCACTGGACGCCTCAAGATGACTTCCTTATGAAGTTGAAACTATTCGCGTGACCTTGCAACTATTGGATTACATAGAAGCTGGTATTTAAACCAATTTATATATTGAACGTAATCCGGAGGCCAACATAAAAATGAAATTATTTTTTAAAGTTGTTTTTTAACTAGAAAAAGACACTTTAAAATGATTTATTCTAAATAAGTTGTTAAAATAATTCATTAGCCAGCGATTTCTTTAAAAGAAAAAATATTATTCGTTTTTTACCTATTGGCATACTTTTAAGGCTATGTCTATTTAGTTATGTCATTACCAAAGTGTTTGTTTCATTTACTGAGGATCGCTTCAAAAATAAAAAATAAACATATTTAGTTTTCCTTCATTCTAAAAGGGTGCATCTTTTTTCTATTTCCTCAGATAATTAACCTCGTCAATGATTGAATTTGTAGTAAAAAATAATAGTTGATTAACTTTCAAACTTAACCAATACATTTATAATAATCTTTTAATTGTTGTTTAGTAAAAAATGAACAAATAAAATATATTTACCTTCAATCCTTCAAAAAGAGAGGGGATTTTTAAGTGATTTATTCCAAGTAGTTTACTTTCCTAAAAACAAAATTTTATCGGTACACCAATATTTAATTCATAACTGTATCAGACAAATGGCAATTTGATGTATAGTTTGCGCCCTATCTTGTTACACACGGTAAAATGCATATCGTTTACAATATATCAATAGTCTATTATCCCTAAGTTCAATTGAGTTTCATTTCCTTCTAGTGAATATTTAATGAGGTTTAGAACATAAGGAGGACACAGTTTAGTATTCTATCCCAAATATGCAAGTTAACGAGCGATAATCTCACATGGCCGGGTCCGGATGCTGGGTTCAAGCTCCCAAGTGATATATGGCGTGTCAAAACTTCTACACTCGATCAATTCTCAGGGCGGACACAAAAGTGAATATGCTGCTTGTTGATTCCAGACCAATATGAAGGGCCACTTTATTATTATGGGGGACTAATATCTAAAAAAACTCTTTGAATTCAATGTACGAAATGTAGTAGTACCTTTCGTATTTACATGTTTAGAAAAACTAACAATTATATGTAAGGATTCTTTATAATTCATTATGTTTTTATGATTGCATTAAATCAAACCCGTAGGGTATTAAAACAAGCTTTTTTATTATTTTTATTATTTTTATTTAAGGTTTTACTGCCAAGTGACATGAAACAATTTTCAATCAATACCTGTACAATTCTTCTGAAAGGAACTTAGAAGAATTTATGTAAAAGTATATTCAATGAACTATATTGTTAGACACATTGCCCACGTTACAAAAGTCATTGTAGACCTACTATAAGTCAATGATACCGTACAAAAGTAATTTCAGTTATATAATAACAATACAAGGATATAGACTGTATCAAACACAAACTATTTAGAGAAAGACACAACAGTAAATATTTGATCATAAATGCATTCTTGTAAATATAAATAAGTGTAAATCGTGATAAACAGCATACTGTTTTCTCCGTGGGGACCCCATGTGTGTACAGTGTTGAAATAATGACTTAGAGGGGTACCACCGCGCTTTCGCCACCTGGTCTGTAATATCAATAGCGTTGTTGTTCCATAAACGACCTCAGAAATAATCCACTACACCCTTAATAGGATTGAGTTACACGTATAAAAAATATACAATCTATTTTCTTTTCTTAGCTTTACTTTCTGTATCTCGTGGTGTCTTCCTCGAGGCTTTATAAACTGGATACGAACAAATTTCCACAGAGTAGTTTTCGAAAAATTTTGTTTTCACACGAATTATTAACGTTCATAATATTAAAATGGACTCATGAAGTGTTACCAACCAAAATTGGTTCGGATGATACACTTGTACTTGAAATAATATCCAAATAAAGTTAAATTTACCTTCCTAAAACTATGAGCCTACTTACAATAGCGATTTTTTATATTACAGTATGCATGTTGAAATTACGTCATTCACCTACTGGGCCTGACGATGATTGGAGTGTTCAATCGAAATCAACCACCACTTATACTATCTTAATATCTAATTGACCGTCATGTGAGTAAACAGTATAAGTGCTAATATGCTATTACAAGAGTTATTAGATGTATTTTTTTCAGGCAGTTCAATATTAACCTTCTGTATTTTGTGAGTAGTTTATTTTATTTTGCTCTGTTACAGAACGCGGGAGAATGAGTGAGAACCAGCTGAGGATTTTGGCGGGATTTAACGGGATTTTGTGCCTTATTGTAACACTACAAGCCCCATCCTCGAGATCCGGTGAGTGTGGATTTAGCCGAACACAGTAAGGTAAATGCTTTGAAATGAAATGAGTTTCAAAGAGTTGATTTTGAATATGTATTTAAGTGAAGTATTAATAAATAGGCTAATAATATTTATTGTTATACCTCAATAAAAATAACTACCAATCAGTCTAGAAGTCAACGGAAATTATATGTCACTATTATAAGGATAGTTTATTTACAGTTGTATTATCACCAACTCTTTTATGAATCGGATCCAAACCTTATAAAGGTTTGCTGCCTAGTAAGAATAATAAATTTAATTTTTCTTTGACCACCTCATGTTAGAATGTCTCAAAATAAAGATATAAATTGAAAATGGTTCCTAACATTTAATTTAAAGCAATCTTAATATTTTTTTGAATATACAGACGTGTTTTACATACGGATAAAGTGCTTTTATTTTATAAGCAAAATATTCTACATAGTTGATTTTTATGTGCCATTCACCTTTGGACAATTTACTTAAAAAAATATGAAATTTGAACATGAGGTTATTAAAGGTTCAATCAGTTTTAGAACTAAACAAAACTGTGAGTGGTACTGTCAAATACTTCTTGTGCAGCAGTGATCTGTAATATACACTCCAAAATCACTACTTCTCGAATCGATTCCATGTATACAACTTTATTGATTGCAGACCTTACTGGACTCTGTTTTCTTTGACTGAAAGCTTGTCAAAACAAGCATTTCTAGTTGAATATCCAAAACCAATTATATACATTTTTATTTAACGTAATAAGTCGTAAAAAATAAACCTACTGATGATCTTGCCTCAGGAGAGCCTGGACAGCGAGATGTGTTGAACCTGACCGCCATCTACAGCGCTAGGCAGGAAACCTCCCTGCAGGACCTGGCTGGCTTCTGGTCGTACAACGAGACATTCGACATATCCAAATACGAAGACTTCGACCACTCAAAGTTTCTGGGTAAGATTGAATATCATATCCAAACTCATAGTAGTGTTTGGAATTTCTTAATATGTAAGTAAGTGGATCGCCAATTTTTATAAGCAGTCTTGACTGTATCTTAGAGTATTTTTTTATATATAAATTGTGCTCTTAAATTTCCCTGAAATGAATTACTGTGTGTAGTAAGAAGAACCAACATTTGTTGCAGATATGCCAGGCATCAAGTTCGACGACCCCCCTCCCCCTGGGGTAGAAGCACTGTGGCCAGAAGGAGCTGACCTTGGGCAGTTTGCATCCCCCCCTCCCCATGACCTTCCAGTGTTTGATAACACACTGATAACAAATATCTCTGCTCAACTCGGGGGAACTGCCTTCCTACACTGTAGAGTTCGCAACGCAAACGATCTCAGGGTATGTGTAAAATAAGATTTATTTCTACAACGGTGTTAATGGAAATGTAAAAAAAATAGATTTAGCGATGGAGAGAAGCGAAACTGTTGTATATAACTTAAGAACTAAAAAGAACACGATAAATTGAACCTAATTATTATGTAGACAACCAAATATGTTATAAAATTAATAATAATGATCCTACATGGAGAGGTTCTTGTGTGGATTATGTGTTGGTTGTTGAAGAGCCGGATAAGTTAAAAAACTTCGTATTTAGGAATGGTTTTGTTAATGTCTACACTAGACCAATTTTAAATGCAGAACCACTACACTATCAAGCTCAAGCAGTCTAAACCGGATTATCTTTTGTATAGGGAATCGATCTGGTAACTCTTTAGCTGATGTTCGAGACACAAACCACTAAGCAGCAGACCTGAAGGTATTAGGAAACATGTTGACTTCTAAGGAAATGAAAAATTACAATTTAAAACAAAATAAATATATTCAAAAGTTCAACGATAAATAAATGCATTAATATAAGTAAGAAACGATGTAATATTGCTTTCCTAACACATTTTGTAAAAAAGAATGTTTCAAAGGCTTTTTAAAATAGTATTACGAATTGGTTAGTTGTCAGTCGTAGGTTAATATTGTTATTTCCAAGTGTTGAAATGTAGCTAGTCTAATGGTGGAACAGACGGAATCGGTCAAATTACGTAAATTACCGTGACTTTTAGCTATATAATTTACCACTCTTTAGGCTTGTAAAGTGTAAAATCATTTCGTACTAAAGCATAATGCCCTAGAATATAAAGGAAAGACACAAACATGTGTTTATTGTTCCAGGTATCCTGGGTGCGTAGACGAGACTGGCACATCATCAGCTCTGGAGCGTTGACCTACACCAATGATGAGAGGTTCCAAGTGATACACAACGAGAACACCGAGGACTGGGACCTGCAGATCAAGTTTGTACAGAAAAGAGACAACGGGACATACGAGTGTCAGGTGGGCAAATGTGTACAGTATCCAGTATTTGTAACTGGGAGAACAAAGATTAGAATTTAAACTGTTGTGTATAAAACTTGTAGGCTGATCACTTGTTTCACTAAAGTATGATTATATTGTAAGGATTAAAAGAGAAAGATATTTTTTGCAAAGAAAATAACTTTTTTGTAATTAGATAGCATATTCTTTGTGTAAATTTGTTGTATTATTTTGCTAGTGAACAGTTCAAATAAAAACCAATAACGTGCTACAAGATGAAAATTGTGTTTTCTGTGCTGAATTGTGTCAGAGGTGAATCTCTAACTACCATATTCCAAATATTATAATTAGTAAGTGGCCCTTTTTTTAACCGGTGGCATATTTACACGATCAATTGAATGAAAAAGTAATTAAACGCTTTTAGGGTCCAAACCTGTGTTGTGGGTGTGCTGGAAATCGAAATCGTCCCTCCCTCACCAAAGTCCGAGACGCAAACCAGTAGACTCTATATGATGGAATCTGTTCCCTGACACCTTCCTCTAACTGAAAATAACTCTATGGTCCAAAGCCTGGGCTAGTCTTAAGTGGGCGATGGTTCAGGAGACAGGCTCCATCACACAGACTATAGCTTAGTGAAACACGCATTACACCCATGTCATACAATATCCTACTACTCAAACCTACAACCAAAGCCTTATTCCTGAGCTAGAGAACAGTTCACATATAATCCTCTTACTGCTACATCCTAAATGTACTGTTTCAAGTAGTAGATCCCTACTACAATAACTCGTTTGTTGCGTTTCAGGTAGCCACCAGTTCAGGCATCATCTCTCACTACTACAATCTGCATGTAGTGGTCCCTGCTGCGTTTATCCTCGGCAGCGGAGACTATCACATTGGCGAGGGCAGTACGATCAGCTTAGTTTGTATTATTGAAAACGTAAGTAATTCTTCACTAGTAATTCTGTTATTTAAACAAATTTTTGTTTATAGCCTAATGAATTTTGAAGTATTCATATGTTATCTTCTTGTTTAGGTTTTTTACTATTTTTAGTAAGCTGTAACAGTTCTCACCAATTACAGACTAGAAACTGATGATTGTGTGGAAATGACAGTTGTTGTCCACGAAACAACTTTCACCACGAAAGTTAAAGGTTTTCGTTAGTTTGCCTACAGTTAATCTTCAAATTTTTTATACACGTATGGAAGAAAAAGCTTTGTTTTTAATTTTGAAATAATTAATCTAATCCACAAGACGTTTGTTTATGTCTGAATTCATGTTTTAAATCATTGATTATCAGTGTCAAAACCAATAAATATACTGCAAATATACAGCTGACTATAAAAAAGTGATAAAACGATACCGATAATCAGTGTTGAATATTTATTCAATTATTCGGATATTCACTGCTAATAGGTTAATATAGTGATAAAATGTTGATTATTATTTTGACAATTGGGTACCCGATTAGAAGCAAATCAATGGGACCAATAACAGAGCTGCATTGCAGTATTATGCAACACAATATACGGCGATTTGCAATTTAAATTTTCCAGATCGCCGCTTAACCAAATCCTGATCAAAGCTAATACGTTGAACCAAGCGTTTAATTTAGTATCGTTCTTCGTCATAACAGATAATTTAACTTAAAGGCGAAGTTTGGTAAAATATAGTTTTAATTGAATAGGAATGTTATGTGTTATTTTTGCCACAAAGGACCCAGACATATACACATTTATTAATAATACTCTCCTATGACACAATCTGTTCCAAGTTACCTGTATTTTGTCATCAACGCATAATACCTTAAATGGCCAAGGTATTTAAACTAATTTCAGAAAATATTAAATGTGTTTAAAATCAACACACATTTTTTCTGCACACTATCTAATATTGCTGACTCTGTAAAAAAAGAATAATTTTGGTGTGGGTAGTTTACTTAAAATTATGTAATTAGCATTTGTCTAAAACTAATCTTGATGTTGATATTACATTTTATCAAACAACATTAATAAAGGTAATGAAAAGCAAATTAAAACCTCGGTCTAGTCCAAGGACAGGAGACAGGTTGCCTCTAAAAGAATATACACGTTTTCAAATAATATTACAATGGACTAACCAACACAAGTAGACGTCTCATCCCATTGTAAATTTTCAAGCTTGTTTATATTGTCTAGCTCATGTCCGGTGACACTGATCGCTAGTGTTGACATTTTGTTCCTATTATTTCAGGGTTAATTTTATGATAAGTCCTTTACTTTTTAGTTATATAACTAGGGGACAAGTCATTGTTTTTGTTTCGATAATTTTTGTTAAACGAGGGGTTAAATTACTGAAATAATAAGAGACAAATGGTAAACAAAACACGACCTGAGTGCACCGGACAGAACTAAAATTAAAATTCTGCTGTTCCATAAATAAAAGAAATCTATCAAGGGAGTATGTTTTATCTCTGATATTACAAATGACGTTTTCCAGAGTCCAACTCCACCCCAGTACGTGTTTTGGTACCACAACGACAAGATGGTGAACTACGACTCTGCTAGGGGAGGGGTGACGGTCAGCACCGAGCCAGGACCGAAGACTCACAGTAGACTGATCGTCAACAAAGCAACACCAGCAGACACGGGCAACTACACGTGTAGGGCTCCCAACACTGAGCCAGACACTATACACGTGTTTGTGTCCAAGGGTAAGATGATTACGAAGTACACATATCTGTATGAAAGCTAGGAGTATTACACATCTTTGCGGCAAGTAATTTGATCTACTTAATTACCTATTATCGAGATCGAAGCATATTTTTGAGGTGAGTGGAACTTTGAAATGCACGATTACCTGGGAATTATACTCCGTATGAGTAAACTTGCCTCCTGGCCCTCCTTGGCCAATGGTTTAACGTCCGAACGAAGGGTCAGGAGACAGATTGCGTCATACAAACTATAGTGCTCACTGACCAAACTTTGAACTCTTCTCGTCTTCGTTTCAAAGGATATTATTGTGTTGTGACTTTGGACTATACTTTGGAGTGTCACAAGGTAGAAAAAGTAGTTGTAGTCCCTACTTCAAACACATTTCCACAACTCTTTGTGTAAAATTATAAGAGGAACGTTTAGATTGTACATTTAGCCGTGCAAAGAGCATAAGTAGTTGTTGTCCGTACAAAACTTTGACACAAGACTTTGTGGTAAAAGACAGTAAAGCGATGTAGCGTTGAACCATGAAATCATCTGTATCGATAGAATGTAGGTAGAGTTAGTAGTTGTTCAAAAGTGACTAAATATACAATCCTTTGTGTTAAACTATAAAAGTTAAAGGATCAAGTTTGAAATACATAGATCTTTTGTCAAAGGAGAAAAGTCTCTGAATACTTTGACATTATTCTGTTGCAAAGGATAACTCTTCCTTTAGGAAAAACTTGAACTCTATAAGAATGTCCGTGAAAACATACGTGTACTTTTGTAGTCTGCGACGCATTTATTCATTTAGATTTATCCTGTCAAAAGGCAGGAGTACTATTTTTATCCTTGGATTTTATTCTATTTGTATCAACTGGTTGGAGTATGCATTGATCCTACAACACAAAGTTTTATCATAGATAAAAACACACTCCCTTGTTTTATTTAACAAGTATACCTGGTTTGTGTATAAGGAAGTATTCGGAGTCCGACTAAACTTTGAACCGTAAACGTACTTTTAGTTGATAAATAGTTTACTGATCAAACTCTTAACTGTTCAAATAAAAAGTTTACCTTTTGTGCGGCTTGTATTAAAGGGTAAAGGTAAACGGGTTCAACTTAAAACCCGTACACTTCTTTGATTAAAATACAGCTTTGAAATATACTGCTCTGTGTTTTTAACTTAAAAGTATTCACTTGTCTGCTTTAGTATATTTTTAAAACGTTGAGCTATATGCATTATGCAATTTTGTGTCAAAGGAAGAGTAACACGTCTTAATTTAAAACATTTTGGACCAAATAAACGTATAAAGATGATAATAGAAAAGTCAATATAAAACCACTTTGTAACTGTTTAAATTGCGTCGTAAAAGTCGATTGAAAATGTATTTTTGCCTAGTCAATCAATGATCTATTCTATAAAGAAATGTTCTATAAATAATTTCTCTTCATAAGGTTATTCATAACTGCTAAAAATTTGCTTCTAAACTAAAGCTTTAAAAATATATTCTACGTAAATGGTATTCTCCTGGTACTTTATGTTGTGTGAAATTTTAAAAGTATAATATTCACTTTAAAATTTATGTAATTATTTGTTTATAGAGGGAGAAAACACCGCAGCTATCCAAAGACAGAGAGCAGCGCTATCCCACAATCCTCTGCGATCAGTAGTACTTCTGTTACTGGCTGCATCCCTCTGTCTGTGATACTAGAGATGAGGTCATCCAAGGCATCCCGGGTCATCCAAGGACATCCAAGGGCATTCTAGGTCATCCTATATCATCCGAGGGAATCCTAGGTCGGCCGAAGGCATCCTAGGTCATCCAAGGTCACCAAGATCATCGCGAGAGATAGTATTACAGTGAACTCAAGCGTGAAGGTTGATAGTGAGAGCTGGAGCGGTTTATCTGACTTTCATACGTATTAATAATTTAAACGTTTAGGTATAGATTATGTTTCAATTATAATAAAATATTGTTTGTAGCAAGTGTTATTTTTATTTTCCCTAAGCTAATTACCAATATATAATAAAACTGTGGCATGCAATGGTGTTTAGGGTTGACAAGACAACATCAGGCAACGGAAAAAATACAGTTATTATTGTAGGGCTCAGGTAAAGGTTTCATTCCCACAAGATATGAGGTTATTTTTGCCAAAATAACTTATACAATTTATATAGCGTGATGCTAGGTATAAATTTTAAATTTAATAAAGTTTCAGTACTTTAAAACACATTACTAAACATACCCTTAATCTACTCGGATTATCAAACTATATAAAAACAAAAACTATCGAAAAAAAGGTTATGCGTTACTAAAATGCCTTTAAAACATGAATAAAAGAAACTTGTCGATATAACACGAAAACAATTTTACCATTATTGTTTTAGCTGTTAACTCAATATAAACATGATATTTTCAATAATTCAAACAAAATTTATTATTTTCCCAAAGCTATATTTGCAACCGTATACAGAATTGAGTAGTTGTAAAGAGAGTTGAACGGGATACCAAACTCTGGTCGGATATCTTTATTTGCAGGATTGACTTTCATAAAGGAAGGATACAAAGGGCTACAACCAATTGCATAAACATGAGGCCCGGGCTTTACTGGAGACACTGTCTTGCGAGAACTAAAGTGGAAATACCTGTTACTGTATTTCATATTAGAGCACACGTCTCAACAAGTAGTTAAACATTTATAAGTGTAATGACAAAAAAAAATAAGAATATTTCTTTGGACACTTCATACTTTGACTTCATTACTTTGTCAAAATTATTGGTAAGATTCGAATATACAGGGTGTTTGGTACTCAGTGTGAAAAAAACTTTTTGGTGTAAGTACAAAGTAAATGCAGTATGATGATGCATATAAAATGTCCCAAGTCTAAAAATTAGCTTCCCAAAGAATTATTTTATGTTTTTCAAAAATAACTATGTTTTTAAACTTAATACAGCTATTTCTCAATTACCTGTAAATGGATTTGAGTAGACAATGTCATTTTCGTGTTTTACATTAAATTTTGAATAAGAATAATACAAAATGACAGAGGATCAGTTGTAAAAACTCCATCGTAAATAGATTCAAAGATAAAAATTAAGATGTCTGATAAAAATGCAAAAAACATTGGTCAATTGCATTTGTTCACACCCTGTATACAGGAAAGTGTCGGAATATGTTAAAAACTGCGCCATTTTATACGCTTTCCAACTATATGCTACACTATTGAGGTTTAGATATATTTTTGTTTATTTTAGTGGTTTGAATGCCAGAAAACAGGGAACTTTTTTACTGTTTTTACTGTTCAAGCTGAAACAAAAATACAACTTTTGCTTAATACATGCTGACTTTCTATGTTTTAAATGATAAAGACGCCATGCTTTGTAGTCTTCAAACCACGAAAGCGTACATAAGCAGACAGAAAGCTCAATGGTGTAGCATATGGTTGGAAAGCTTATAAAATGGTGCAGTTTGTAACATATTCCGACACTTTCTTGTATACAGGGTGTGAACAAATGCAATTGACCAATGTTTTTTGAATTTTTACCAAACATCTTAATTTTTATCTTTGAATCTATTTACGATGGAGTTTTTACAACTGATCCTCTGTCATTTTGTATTATTCTTATTCAAAATTTAATGTAGAACACGAAAATGACATTGTCTACTCAAATCCATTTACAGGTAATTGAGAAATAGCTGGATTTAGTTTAAAAACATAGTCATTTTTTAAAAACATAAAATAATTCTTTGGGAAGCTAATTTTTAGACTTGGGACATTTTATATGCATCATCATACTGCATTTACTTTGTACTTACACCAAAAATGTTTTTTCACACTGAGTACCAAACACCCTGTATATGTGAAAAATAATGTTAGCTGAGAGTTTTTGCAGGTTCTGTGGCATTTTTGGAGTCCTGTGTTTCAATTTCTCACTAAGGTGTTGGTTGATTAATAACTTAAAATGTTTTAATCCTATGGTTAAGGAGTCGTTTTACACTTAATTAAAAGACGATTGTCCGTAAATTAAAGTCTACAAGCGTATTTTGCAGCCAAACTATGAAATTCGAATCTAATTCCAACTCCATGTTCCTTACTTCATTCACTACTATTTTAGCCGGGCCCACCACTGACGACGAGTTCGCACATTATTTAAAAAAGTTTCGGAACAAAGTTTACGCTCCCGCCTGGTATAGATCTTGTTTTGTGATTATCTGTGGTCTTAGTCGTCAATCACCATAGACATCCATGACCAGTTGACGGATGTGACTGAGGTTTGATGATTTGGCGTGGTGAATTTAAAGGGATTAGGTTAGTTCGGGTTCAAGAGATGGTTAAACATTTGAACAATGTTTTCAAGGGTGCAAACTGACTGCTGTTGTTCACCAGTCTCGTTTGAAGCAAAGTCAGAGAAATATCGAGTGATATGACTGAACGATAAAAGATTTCGAACTAAAATTGGAAGTCTCTATACGACTACCAATATAAATTGTCAGCTCTGGAATCTCAATCAGTCTGAAAGACGGTAATATGAAATCTAGGTTGATTCCAATCATATTTTTGTCTCGATGGACACTGATAAAAACCTACCTAAAATAACCTCCATGTAGCTGTTTAGTTAAGCAAATGTTAACTTGTTAGGGTATGAAAGTTTTTATACTGTATGGAATATTTGTAGAGCTAAATGATTAGGTAATCTCCGAAAAGAAATGTTTTCATGAGTTTTCAAGTGTGAGGAGGCAATTAATTAGCTACAAGGTACTTAAGAGTATAAGCTCATCTAGTATTTTCAAAGAGGTCAGATCTAAACCTACATTTTGTCCACAGTGTAGTAGTGATTTATTTAACAGGCAACCCATACAGTTGTGGCACACAAACTCGAAATCCCAAAACAGCATTTAAAGCAGTGATTGGTCCAATAAACTGTGTGACTTCCACTCCATTGGCACAATATGTGTTTGTCAACGAATGTAGTTTTGGTCACACAAGGTTTAAATTAAGCACTTCAATACCTTTTGTTCTTTAATAGTCCTTAAATAAAAATGTTTAATTTTTTAACTTTGTAGATTGCATTGTTTTAAAGACAATCTTAAATTAAGCTATTTATGTTTATTTATTTAGATTTAATTAAATATTAACATGATTTATTTTACATTTTATTACTTTTTAAGTAAATAACAGCGTTTTGTTGGATTTTACTTAAAAAAGACGAATACCAAATGCGGGTTGTAATGATTAGGGGTTTTATTATTTGTATAGCTTGTTTTACTTAAGAGGAAAACAAATAGTTTATAAAATATTGTTCTTGGAAATATCTGTGCGAATATATCGGATATTTAAAGAAAATGTATTATTATTCAAAGTAGTCCCATAAGAATTTATTTAAATGTACTGGTCCGTTGGATCAGAAACAGGTTAGTCATCCCACTTAAATATGAGAATAGCAAATAACTTCAAATTGTTTGCTGCAGACAAACCTAGCTTGGGTCCCGCAATCAGAATTGACCCACGGTTTCTTTACATTGTTTAACTAGCAAAGTGTAATCGTTTGTTGAATGTTTCATAAGGAAATATTAATAACTGCATATTTATCAATTACGAAATTCATATTACGAAAAAGAATAAAGAATTATTGGTTTCAAAATTGTCCGTGAAAATCAACACAACAAAACAATACATTCAACGGATGGCGGACATATGAAAAATGTCCGAGAATTATTGTTTTATTTTAATAAAAATTGTTAAATTGAATAGAGTTTACCATGGAAAATAAGGATTTGCAAAAATCCCTTGGTAAATAGCAAACATACTTACGAAACCCAAAATATTTTAATACAAGAACTATTATCAGACTTCAAGCAGTCTGACAGCTGATGAGTGACGTTTTATAAATTACATTAGAAACTTTGTAGTGAGTATTTTAAAAAGATATAGTTATACAAACCAGTTGCCGTCAATAGATTTAGGTTTAATTAGTAATTTTTATTGCGGTAGTAATTTTGGGTTGGAAGACAAGGATAATGTGTAAGTGTCAGAGTAGAAACAAAACTATTTTCTAATAATTTCTTAATTCTAATTTACAACTCGATAAATATTGATAAATAAAATTAGCATTTTTATATCTTTATACCATTTTAAAGATTGTGTTATGTACCAAAATATTTTACATTTAGGTTCCAGTTAAATACAATTAGAGCATGCATTATAAATGTTGAAATTATTAATTATGAATTTCTTACACAATAATAATACATAGTATATTTTAAGACATTATTAAATTTCTATAATTGTTAGGTAAAAACTAATTCAGATCAAATGGACTGTTTAAAATTGGTGCTTAAACGATTAAAAGCAAAGCTTTTCGTTTAAACTGGCTTATAGTCAATTATTTTAAAAGCTAAAATTATTTTACCTTTCATTTGCACATGGGCTACAGAGGACTGTTTGTGGAAAATTTACAGCAGAGCAAAAGGGGGAATCCGGGACAGTACAAGGGTGAAATTAACTGATAAAAGTAGTGAATCCTTGTGAAAAAACTAATAGTTATAGAAATATCTATGAAATGAACCATGAAGGAATACATTATTTTAATCAATTTATATATATATATATATATCATTCATGTATATTTTTAACATTCCCTTTTTTCACCAAAAGCGTCGTGGGTTTGAGTCACCTGATCGTGTCAGACCTCAATTTCCTCAGACAGCCGCATTGTCATTGACGTAAATTGTGAATCGCCAAACAAACTCGACCTTATCTACACACGCCATTGGAAACTCCATTTGCGTTTCAATTCAACCGGTAGTTACAACCACTTTATGAAGTCTCATTTAAGATAAGAATCTGTTGGCGCTGTTCATTTAAAAACCTGTTACGCTTTTCATGCTAAGATGTTGGTGGAAATTTCTTTCTTAGAATTTTTACTTTCAAGTAT